CAGGGATTGAACCTGGGACCTTCTGTATTCAAAGCGGAGACTCTATCACTGAGCCACTGCCCCATCTTTTGGGGTGCAAATGAGGGAGGAGACAGTACTGAAAATCCAATTGTTAGAAGCATTGTCAAGACACATATGAAGAGTCAGTGTGGTACAGTAGGTTAGTGTGTCAGATCTAGGAGACTCAGGTTTGAATCTCCCCCTCTGCCATGGAAGCTCATGAAGTAACCTTGGGCTAGTCACCCGCTCTCAACCTAACCTACTTCACAGGGCTGTTGTAAGGGTTAAATGATACATGCTGCTTTGGGTCCCTAGTGAGGAGAACGATGGGGTATAAATTAAGTTTTAAAAAATTAAAATATGGGCATGCGTGTGTATGTGCGCCTGTGGATGTATGGGAACAAGAGAACAACATTTAGAATTCAGTTGTTCACCCAGGTTGCTCTTCCTCACTTCCAAGAAGTGGATCAAAAAGAGGACAACTCCTAATTCACAAGGGCTCTGAAAGGAACAATCTGACACTGTTACAAAGAGCCAGTACATGTTATTTTGGGAAACACTAGCAGAACTATCACAAGGCAAGCACAAAACGTAACCGTTTTAGTAGAGTGTGATACAAGTAAAATTGAAAGAGGCCCCATTTTACTAAAAGATGCAGATAAATTTGAGTGGGTAAGCAATTGGGGGTGTGTGTGTGTTCCCGTTTGAGTCAGCACTAAAAGAGCTTGTGCGTATGCAATCAAGCACAAAACGTAACCGTTTTAGTAGAGTGTGATACAAGTAAAATTGAAAGAGGCCCCATTTTACTAAAAGATGCAGATAAATTTGAGTGGGTAAGCAATTGGGGGTGTGTGTGTGTTCCCGTTTGAGTCAGCACTAAAAGAGCTTGTGCGTATGCAATACCTGTGCAAACACACATACCTTCCCTTTCTGTAACATACTTTGTTTACCATGGAAAGGATTTATTAAGAGGGAAAATCTCTCAAATTCTGTAAGTAGGGCTGAGTGCATTCTGTACACCAGCCACACAAGTGTGGCATCTACTATCTAGAACAGAATCCAACATCCTGTAAACATCCTTTTGTTTTAAAAATGGACTTCCTTATCACCTCTGTTGCAGCAAAGAGCAGCAAGCTTTTTTGCATCTTTTTTGGGGGTATTTTTGCGTGTGTGTGTGTGTGTGCACATGCACGCGCGCCCATGCCTGGAAGTCATAGTGACCTCTGGCAACTCCTACTGGGGCATGCAGGACGTTCAGAGAAGTGGCTTGATCACCTGCCTCTGCCTCCCGACCCTGGTATTCTTTGGAGGCCTCTCTTCCAAATACTTGCCAGGGTGGGCCACGCTTAGCTTCCGAGATCTGACTTGCCTGGGCTATCCAGGGCAGGGCAGCTTCTTTGCATCTTGAACACAAACAAATGTATTGTGGCATAAGCTTTCAAAGGCCAGAGTCCACTTCACCAGAGGCAATGAAGAGGTAACCCCATTGGGAGAAGTGGGGGAGTTTATTTTTACTGCTGCCCATCAGATAGAAGGGAAAGCTTAAACACAGAGAACACTGGTCTTCTTTGGTAACAGATGTCTGAGAGACGGCTCACCAAGACTCCCAGCCTCAGAACCTTGCACAACTCTTGTTTTGCCCTCCTACACATACTAGCCCATGGCTTTGGTCCCCACAGAGATTGCCCTTATCACTTTTGCCTTTCAACCCCTCAAGAGTTTTCTATTCCAAAAAATTTATTTTAAACAAAGCTGGATCTCAGAAGCAGGCTGTGTTCCTTAGCACAGAATGTGGGTCACCTTGCTGCAGAATTTGGGATGGAGCTGTTGGCAGGATTTGGTACAGGGGCACAAAGCTTCACCTTGTAGTTAAGCAAAAAGCATCGTTTTAGGAAAGTAGATTTGAATGAGCAGATCTCCCCCATCCCCAAAATGCTGTTCTTCCACATGATCACCAAAGCCCTACAAGGAAGTACCATCCGAATGATGAAACTGACTTATAAAATATCAGACCCAGCTACTCTCTGATGGTGATGGGTATTGCAAGAATATGGAATTCCTAGGAAGGGTGTGTACACAACACTGGGGGAAAGGTTTGTGAAACTTTTTAATGTATTAAGGCAGCTTCAAGGAGAAATGAGATGATATCAGGAATGTATACTATTTCTTGCAATATATAGAGTCCTTTTAAAGGAAAGGGGTTATAAATGTTACTTTAAAATCAATATTTTACACTGTATATAAAATGGTATGCTTGGGTATGCTTTTAATTTTTTAAAAAATATATACTGATAGAATTAAGTTGAGACAATATCCTACTCTCGTTTTATGTATCAAATATCAGAATTGTGTCCTCAACAAAGATAAAATGTAATAACTGCTGATGAATAATGCCTTTTTAATTATATCCCCCCCTTGTTTTCCTTTCTGTACCCTTTAATTCATAGACTAAAATTACACACATACACACACACAGACACACATATGGCAGCACTTGGGTGCCAGTGCACTGGTACAATGCTGATATACACTGCAATTTTTGACAGAGTTATACCCTTTTAAGTCCAATAAAGGTGATGAGTTGCAAAAGCTGTAACTCTGCTTAAGATGCCCTGTGAGTAGGGCATTGCAGCTTCTCTGAAAGTCTCTGCTATGGTCTCAGCTACCTTTATATATTCCACTGCCTGGTTCACTGCAGCTCATTTCCTGCAAGGTAATCACCATGGTAACAAAGAAGTACAGGGTTAGCCTGGCACAGAAGGGGCAGGAAACTAGAGTCCCACAACCTTAGTCACAAACCCACAGACAGTTAAAAAGAAAACAGCCAGGTTTTCCCCTTGATGTCTGTCTTTCTCTCTCTCCCTAGTGCATTTTTATTTCATCCTTCCTCTAAGGAGGTCAGGGTGGGGTACATTATTCTCCCTTCACCATTTATTCCTCACAGGTTAGTTTGAGGGGGAGTGACTGGTCACCCAGCAAGCTTCATGGCAGAGCAGGGATCTGAATCCAACTCATGTAATTCTATCCTACAACTCGGGCTCACAATCTAGAACAGTTTCAGGTGGGTAGCCGTGTTGGTCTGAAGCAACAGAACAAAGTTTGCGTCCAGTGGCACCTTTAAGACCAATGAAGTTTAATTCTGGGCATAAGCTTTCATGTGCCTACACACGAAAGCTTATGCCCAGAATTAAACTTTGTTGATCTTAAAGGTGCCACTGGACTCAAACTTTAGTCTAGAACAGCAATCCCCACTGTAGTGCCCATGCAGCTTGCCAATGTGATTCCTGGTGTCCAGTTGTTTTTTCAGTCTTGGGGACAAAATCCAAATGGTCTTGAATGAAACAGAAAACAGAGGACTTCAGGTCATTCCCTACCAGCTGACTGACCAGCAAAATGCTAAATTCATCCTGGGCTGGCACATCACAGCTATGCACCAGCCCAGCTTGGCCACAGGCATCCTCATTCTCCAGGACTGACAACCTTTCTCTTTTATTCCTCCTCATTCCTTTGGAAACTGAACAGCATCTGTTTCCCAAAGGAAAGAGCTGATCCCATCCCATTGTGGCAGCCATTTTGCAGTTGGCCTACACACTAGGGAAGCCATTTTGTGGTGATGCCCATTATCTTTTTTCAAAATTTCAAAAGAACCCGCAAGCTCAACACAAGATATTCTGCACAGGCAATTGTCCTTGAGGCATGTGAAGTTATTTGCTTGCTTTGCACACATTCTGGAGCTGTGGTCCTGGGTTGACTTCTGTTGGCACAACACAATTTGGACTATGTGAATCAGGAGGTATGGTATGGCTAATCCCCCACTCTCCACAAAGCCACCTAACTGTCCTGGAATGGTACTAACAACAATTAATCTGCATTCAGAAGCTCTGGACCGTTTATATCTGTTGAAGAGGGGCAACAAAGAAAGCTTTGCCACAAAGAGCTTCCTGGCAGGCAGTGTCCTTCAGCAGCCACTCAGGGAGCAGCTGGCAATTGTAATCCCTT